CATAAATGTTGTTTAAATTTCGTACACTGAAAAAAAATTTCTGCCTACTCTCCTCTTCCCCCACCTCGCCCGGTAAAACTGCCGGACTTTAAATAAAGTCTATTCATTCATACTTTCCTGGCGAGCAACGATTGCCTGAAGCGTTAGCTGAAATTCGAGCTGTCTGTGGTAGATACGCTCGTCTAACCCTTCTAAACAGTTCGTCTCGAAATCATTTGCGTATGCTAATGCATATGCGGAGCATAGTACGTTCGTAACTCGCGTATTCTGCTGAACCGCAGGTCGCGGGTTCGAATCGCGGCCGTGGCAGCCACATCATTCTTAGATGGAGACGAAAATGATCGAGGCCAGTGCACTTAGATTTAGGTGCACGTTACCAAACTTCTGGTAGTCAAAATTTCCGGAGCCCTCCACTACGGCGTCTCTCATGATCACACGGTGATATTGGGACGTTAAATTCCAACAATCATGCTTATTAATTCGTGTGTTCCGCAAGTAACGGATGTGACGCGGCCTACGCCGAACGAACGAACGAAAGTCAGAAGCACAGATGGACGAAGAGAAGGTAGAAGAGGTTAAAAAAGAAAGAAAGAAAAGCAGCACAGCGGCTTCGACAGACGCGGGCCGTCTGACGGGCTGTGCGAGCGAGTGTAGAAAAGAAAAACAAACAAGGACAGGCGCAGTGCGGCCACTACGATAGAGACTCGGTTCGGCAGCGTTTTTCCAAGGTCATCGAGAGCCCGCCTCAACTTCCCGCCCGCGAGGCTGGCTGCCGCGCTCCGCAACCGCGACGTCGTCCACGCCCAGCACAGCTTCAAAGGCGGCCTTGGTCCGGCGCCTCTCTACTGCAGCGAAAACCCACTGCCTACGAAGCAGGTCCGGGAAGGCGTACAGTGCATAGTATTCATAGTACGCGGGCGGCATCTCCGTCGCCGAACCCTGGTTCCTACGAACGCTACACGGCACGTGTCCTCTTTTCGGAGATTCATACATACGGCGCATGGTTCCTGCTACTCACTCGAAGCGGTGTCTTCCTCGGGAGATGTTGTATTAACGCGTCCTTTGTGGCCGCCACTGTGTGCGCATTTACGTCATTCACCGTTCCGTCCAGCAGCCCGCCGTCGTATTAAGCCGCCATTAGTCGGGGAGGAATATGTCGGTTGATTCATTTAGAAAACTCTTATCAAAAAAGGAAGTGCGAACTGAAAACACGGGCGTCTACCATTTCCCCTTAGCCACTGATTTTACGGCGGGTGGTCGCTTGAAGCAAAACAAGGGAGAGGGCGTGGGTCCTTACTTTTTGTTTGTGTGTTTTTAATAGATACTGTCACCACAAGAACCCCGCCAGAGCATACATACTGTTAATTTGTGCTCACAGTGGTCCCTCTGATGTGTCCTAATCGATGATAGAAGGTGAGCGACCAGCACTGAAGGGAGGGGGTGCTGACACATGTTTTGGGGAGACCTAATCGCCCGTACCCCCCCCCCCCCCCACCTCTCTCGATTCGCCACTGAGTGCGACCGCCATGGCCGGGACCGAACCCGCAATCTTTGCATCAGCAGCGGAGAACCGTAACCATTGATCCAGAATGGCGGACAGTGTCTAGGATGGGGTACCCTTGGCAATAGGCGCTGTGATTCCACGGTATCAGTACGACGTTCTGTTCCTGTCTATGGTGGCAAACAAGCAACTCGTAGCTTCCATTCGCTCTAGCGCTTAACTATTCTGACACACGGCAAGCACGCGCACGTAAGACGTCACCTTTTAATAAACCGACCACTGAAATTAGACAATTGTGACTCATACACAGGAGAGGCTGCAGTTTAACACCTGTACTATCAGCTTGCACTGCGAAAGTTGTGTCGAGCACTTTCATTGTAATTGAAATACGAAATACCGACGCGTGCACGCTGTGTTCACTGCGACCCTGTTTCTACTCCTCCTTTCCCTTTTTTCTATAGTGCATCCCCAGCAACCTATACAGACACTCGTCTGCTCGATCTCCCAACCTTCCCCATCCGCTCATTTTTCTTTCTTTCTTTCTCGCTCAGCATAGCAGAGTGAAGCCGTAAACTATACGAGATGTTTAGTCAGTAACCCATAGCGGCTTCCGAAGCGAGGATATCGCGAGAAGCGATTCGCGACACTTCGCTAACAGCGCACTCGTTTACAGCCAAACTCACCGAGTGTAGATAGCAGCCTCTGTTCATACGCCAGCTGCTGGCGCTTCAAGTCTGTTGTGTAGACGCCTGACATTCAAGTGGAGAAGCTTGCATTTATAACTGCGCTCTTGTCGATTCTGTTTACTTTATGGCGGTAAGCAATAGCTGCAAGCTTATAGAAAGCGGATTATACAATATGTGTCGTCGAAAAAAAGAGTAATTGGTATCATCTCCACCAAAATACAGCGGGGGGGGGGGGGGGGGTCGCCATGGTGGATCAGTGATTACGGTGCTTGGGTAGCGGACTTAAAGGTCGCGCGTTCGATCCCGGCAGCGGCCACCACATTTCGATGGAGGCGAAATGATGTACCCTCGTACAATGCGATGTCAGTGCACGTTAAAGATTTAACACCATACGGTCGAAATTCCCGGAGCCCTCCACTACGACGCCTCTCATGATCCTATCGTGATTTTGGGCCGTAGAACCTCAGATATTATTATTACAATATAGGAAGGAACAAGTGGAATGCGCGAAAGATAAACAGCATTGTGTTCGAAGAGCCATTTGCCGTTAAATGCTTTCTCTTTCTCTCTCCTGAGAACGCTCTGTGCCATTGTTTTCCTTTCCTTGCAGCTTTTCATGATTTGCGCTTATTGTAAAAGCACTGCTTTTGATCACGTGTTATTCGCTTGTACGAAAGCTATAAAATGTGATTTCGGGCTATAGGTTTGCCGGGCATTGACGCAAAAACGCAAATAGACAACATTGAAAGCGGAAAATAGACGTGTTTACATGGTTCTAACGTGCACTGTTATTCGCTAAATGTCGCCTTCAAATGTCTGTGCGCATTATGGCTGGGCTCAAAAGCAAAATTGATGTGAATTTATTTTCTTATATTTTCCTAATGCGACATTACCTGTCTTTTACAATAGAGCTAGGGCACGCGAGATGGGGTCAAATGCTGTAACGTTTAAAAAAAAAAAGTGACGTATAACTAAGGATCTATTAATGAGAAAGAGGTGCCTATAAAGGTAACAGAATGATTAAGTACAATATAAAAAGAAAAAGAGAGGTCAAGTTGTAGTGCTCGAATAAAACGTAAATATAAACTGAAAAAATATTCATACATGTTGCAAGAGGATTTATGAGCAGCAATAGGTGCTGAAGATTGCCTGACCGACGTTTCGGTGAGCAGACCTGGCATATTTGTCAAATTCGCGTTATCAACCATGGCGTGCTTGTTTTTAGGGTGGTTTGTCGTCGATGTGCACGTCGCGTGGTGTCGCTGTCGGTACTTGCTTATCAAGTACCGATGTCATATGCAGTTGCTCTCATCTGAGGAGCCTATTTCTCCTTTATGTATCAAGCTATTGCGTGAGCTTCACTAGCTCTGGCGGTATGGAGAACACAACTAAGTGTATCTACATGAACACACCAGCGAGGAGAAAACTACTTGGGTGCTGTCAAGACATGAACAGCTGTTTGCGCGACTTCGGTCAGTTTGGATTAATGAATTTCTTGGCGGGTAACAGACAACAGAGATGAGCTGCTGAACCGGTCAGAGTGGCCAAATACGAACTGTGTACGGTTATCTCGCCGATACATTTTTACTATCCTGCTCATTACTCGAATTGCATTATTACACAATACGTCGCCCCGCCGCGGTGGTCTAGTGGCTTACCCAGCTGCTGACCCGCAGGTTGCGGGTTCAAATCCCGGCTGCGGCGGCTGCATTTTCCGATGAAGGCGGAAATGTTGTAGGCCCGTGTGCTGAGATTTGGATGCACGTTAAAGAACCCCAGGTGGTCGAAATGTGCGAAGCCCTCCACTACGGCGTCTCTCATAATCATATGGTGGCTTTGGGACGTTAAAACCCACATATCAATCATTACACAACATGTTCATCACACGTATGGAATGCGAAATATACAAAGTCGACCCACTGTGAACACAAACGACAAATTAAGTTGATTAGTTGTTCCTGCCAAGTCCTGTTAAAGTTGGTACCAAGTTTATACCTAGATCAATGCGTGAGCACGTACGAGGGAAGTCTTATTGTAATGCACATTGAATACTGCGAGTTTCCTTGAACACTGCGCGCTGTATCGTCGCAATGCCATAGCATTGCACGATAATTATATTGTCCAGTTGCCTTGGCTAATAAATATTGTTTCTGTGAAAATATCTGGCGCACTGAGTATCTAATACTCCTGCACTGGCTTCAGTTTATAGGCAGGACACTCAAACAAGCAAAATGATTCTTTTACCGCGTTCTAACCTACTAGTCGGAAATAAGAATGAGATATAATAGCAATGTAATCCTTCAGCGGCGTCCTGGTCTGAGTAAGTCAATCGAAACTCGCATTATATGCTGTGTGATATAATATATATCACAGTGTATATTTCGGTGCACTGCCTAATGTGAGTGACGTCTGAACACTCCGCTGAGATACGAAAACCGACGAGGCGCCGATTCAAGCGAAGCTCCGCAGCAGGCCGACTGAAGGCCGAGAGCAAAAGTCACCTGACTCACGCCTCGTCTTTTAAAGGTGCCGAGGGCTCCGGTTATAAACCTCTTGAAATTCCGAGACAGTCGCATCGACCGAAAGTTAAAAAAAAAAAAGAAGACGGGCAAAACAAAAATAGAGCGTGCCTCGACGGCACATCTCTGAACCGTCAAAGAGCAATCTAGATTACAGAACAAAAGGGAGAAATGTCATCGGCGTACCCAGAGTGTCAAAGAACTGTCTCCGCTGCGACAGCTGTACTGCGCCGAGAGGCCCATAGCTTTGCGCAGGGATTTTTTTTTTTTTTGCATAAAACAATCGACACAAGATTCTGGTAACGCTCCTTTATTAAAGCAATCGTATTTTCTTATCTCGCGAAACAATTCAATATAACTCAAAGATCGCGTTCTATGTACAAAAAAAAAAAAAAACACAGGGCGGGTTGAAAGCGGTAGTGGTTGCGATATCGTGACGATGACGGTGATAATGATCACATTGCGCGACTGTGAACACGTATGTACAAACAAGAGAGGAGATTTGAATAAAAAAAGAATGGGCAGGTTGTTCTCGCAAGCCGTGCTTGTGTCACGGACGAGAGCGCAGGAACAAATGGATTGTTTTTAATTGGTAACGGTAGGTAAAAATGCTGAAGAGCCTTGTCTTCTACATGGTTTTCTTTTTTTTTTTTCATTTGCGTCCCGCCGCGACAGGTATCGCCCAGAGAGCTGCGACGCACTTATTGGACAGGAAAAAAAAAAAGAACGAAAAATGTGGTCCTCAGAAAGCAAAGCTTTCATGATAGCTGTACCAGTTGCAGAGCCGCCACAGATGCCATCAAACTTAATAACTCTAGCACCATCTATAACAGATAAACTCGCGCTGTAAATGCCGAATCATCGGCGCCTAATTGACAACAGTGGCACTTTTGCTTGGTTGCTAATAAGCAAGCTGCTAATCACTATCGAGGTTTCGGGACGCTGAAACCCGACATTTATTGTGAAGAGCGAGCTGCTGTAGCCTATTCAAGCGGCCACAATGGGGAGGTGGATATAGAGGGGTTGCTTCGCAACTGGTAACATCGGGAAGGGAAGCTTTGCCCAGGAAGAGCATCACATACACTTCAGAAAACAGCGCGTCCCCTACAGGCAAAGGCTTTTCCCACTCCCATCTTTCACGAACAACGCGGCAAGAAAAGAACACATCCTCTAAAAGGGTCTGGCACACTTCGGCGTCACAATTCGACTCGTCAGTCGGTGATCACAACAAATCGCGTTTGCATACGCGCACACACTTTCCGATATCACTCGACATCCCACGCGCGCCTCTTTTTTTTTTTCTGAAATCGCATTTCGCGAAAAAAAAAAAAAGAAAACGGAAGAGGCGTACTCCATAAGGCGCTGAAAACATCTCGACGCTGCAATGTTAAATTAATAGAACCGGGATGGAGCAGAGAAAACAAAATAAATACAACAATCACAGGTAACTGGACCACACTTGCCGAAAGGTCTCGAAAAATATTGCTATTCTGTCCTACACGCAACTTTTTTTTTCTTTCCTCCACTTCGAATTCAAAATAAACGTTTACCTCTCTCTCTCCACTTGCAAACCATATCTCTTTCCTTCGCTTTTAGAGATCGTTGTGGCACATTAGCACAAAAATACGGTAGCGAAGTTGCGTTCTGGCAGAATAAAATATCGTCGTGTGAGCGCCATCACGCACTTTTTTCTGTTTCTCTAAATGCTTCATTTTTATGGAACAAGAGATTTACTTAATCTCTACGGAAGCTTCTCTACCGATGGCTTCACTGGTTTTGGGGCGTTAAACCCCACAAATCAATCAATCGATGGCTTCACGTGCGAACGACGCAATGGGCAGTGGCCATTCGATATCATACCGGTTCATCCGGGACACGTGCGCCCCAAATTTGTTTTGCTGGAAAAACGCCCTATCGGCTTCGCTATATACTCGTAAAGCCTGCGACTGTAGCTCACTATTCGTAAGGAAACAAAATATACATGCACCGAGCGACAAGCTCGGGGTGCTCATTTAAATTTTTCTTAAGTTAGCTTTGAGTTAAGAAGCTATTGTGACAAGGCCACCAGTACAGTGCGGACTACTTACAAACATTGCGAGGAAACAGCGCGTGATTGTGGTGCTATTTACAGACACTAACAAGCATGGGATATGTACAGTGATGGAACGGCGTCCCCGAATGTCACACATGAACATGAGAAATGGAAAATACCTATGGCAGAAACTGAATCGAGGCAGTTGGCAACAACGCACTTTCTCCCTTGAGCAAGAGCACTCGCGGAGTCGTATTTTTTTTATTCTTTTTCTATCCGTGCGTACTGAAGTTCGCCCGGACCTAATTGTATAAGAAAAAAAATCTTGAAGCACTAATGATTATTTCTTAAAATTTGTGATCGTTTTTGTAAAATAACGCACGGTAGGTAACCTTGTTTTTTTTTTTTCGTTACCGGAACAAAAATGGTACTTTCGTGCTTTGCACAAAGAAAATAATGACTAGGAAGACAAAAACTCGCTTCAAGTCTTTCATGGTCTCGTCCTAACCTCACGCATCGAGTTTCTGCCTCTGACAGTGTCTCGCGGAATAACTTACGAGCGGAATCGAAACAGCTGCCCAAACTTCTTAAAAGCCTATGTATATGAAACTTTGTGCAAAGTCTGAAGGTCCGGACTACAACATCGAGCGAGAACGCCAGCGTAATTTGGCCGGGGCAGTAAACGTGACCTACAAAAAAAAAATACAAAAGCTTACTTTTCCAAAAAGGAACGGTAGAAAAGTAAAAAAAAAAAGTCACACTTGTTCGTTCAACTTCGCGTACCCTGCATCACAGATCTGACTGCCAACAACTGTCGCCAACAGGGCGACACACTCAAAGAAAGGTGGTCGTTTTTCTTCCGTTCGCGACAATACCCTCTCGGAAGGCACCCACGTCCACAGAACATCGGTGGCTGGGGCAGAACGTCCCGCTGAGATCGTGCCCCGGGACGCAGCATATTTCTCTATGCACGCTTTGAAAAACCTCTCCTCGAACAACGGTTTCTTCGAGGTATGCTAACAAAACGGATTGACTTTGTACACACAGACGCGCCGCGAACAGCGTCCTCTTCGGTGCGCGCACCCCACGCAGGCGAGCGAATGATCGTCCGTACGGGACGCCACCGGGCGCACGTTTAGGCGACGCTCGTGGGAGCGTTCTTCTGCGGCGTCCTCGGCGAGCTGGGCGCAATCCTAGCGATGGCCGCTGAGGTGGGCGTTGCGAAGACGGCCTGCAGTCCTGCCAGGAAATACGTGTGGCCCGCTTGAATGTTCTTCGCCCAAGGCTTCATCACGCTCAGCGTCACGGTGGCCTGCACGTCAAGAGGAGAGGAGAAAGGCGAGGTTAGCGAACCCTCGCAGCTAGCACGGACCCCCCCTCCGCGCAGCCCGCGGGGCTTCGAAGGTGCGTAAAGGGGTCGCCGTACTTGCATGCAGACACGGGGAAATACTCTTCAATGCTGTGACCCGAATAATCAGGCTGCTACAACGCGAACTTTTTTAAGTGACCATTCTGCGGTTTTACTTGACCATTTGATACCGGCAAGCTCTCCGGGAGGCCGTGTTATGACGAACTCGGATTTCTTTTGCATAGCAAGCTAACTGAGAACGAAGCAAACGATCTGGACAAACAATCACTGGTCTCGCACGCCGCAGGAACCCGTTATGCTAGATTCGTCCATAGAGCGGTCATTACAAAATCCTTTCCAGCCCTTAGCCTGTGGGCGTTGTGATCACAAGCCACCTTTACAGGAATTTTTCATCAAGCTGCGCACGGTCACACTGCAAAGCAGTCCGGGCTAGCCCTACGCCTAATTGCGCGTATTTGTGCGGCGAAAGTGGTAGGCGATGCTTTACAGCATGCGCGTCAGTTAATAGTGGTTCCTGCACACTTTGCATACGGCCTCGACGCGGCTAGCTGTGTCGAAATCGCTTTGCCGCAGCGGCGGGGCCGTTGCGGAGAAGCAAAACGAGTTTAGCCTGGTGACCGAGGGGACGCAGGAAGCGGGACGGCGGAGGGCGAAAACGCGGTCAGCCTCGACGACTCCGAGCGCACGGCAACAGTGGCCTCACCTGGTCGCTCCATCCGATGCCGAACTTCCATTGCGTTGCGTAGTACTCCCCGTTCCGGGTGAGGAAGTTGAACTCTACTTCCCGGTCGAGCATGGCGTAGGCCCGCTCCAGCGTTTCGGCCACCGAAGAAGGCACCAGGTTGCGCTCCTTGGCGCGCACTTCCTTGTTGTTGACGCGCACCCCGCTGTAGCCGGCCACATCGGTCAGCTTGCTCAGGTGCACGTACGCAAAGTCCGTGGGGATGTCCTCTTCATTGCGGCCCACCACGTGCACGACATCGCCGTTGCCCACGTAGAGCGCCCAGTGAGCGTAAAGAGTGCGATCGATCTCGATTATATCACCCGGCTCCGGCCGTAGGTCGCTAGCGGGCACGTACGAGTCCAGTCCGTAACGCACCACCACCTCCGGGTTGTGCTGCTGTTGCTGGGGCATGGCGACTCGTCGCGAAGATGCACGCTGCTGATCACTAGTATCCAGAGCACCGCTGTGTTGGGCAATGCGCCTCTCAGCGTTCGCGTCGTGTTGTCCTTTGCTTTGTTATGGAAACACAGCTGACTGGGGATGCCTATTTTGTATGCCCTCAGGGTTAGCGTTTTTTCGAGTACGGGGGAAGCCCTGCGAAATAGGAACGCGCTCTCACGATGCTCACCCTCCAACGGTTCACTCGCAGCTGCCGAGCTCAAAGCAAGAGCGCAACTCTTTATCGAGGTGCGGGGAGAGAGACGAAGGGAAGCGATGGAGGAAGGGAGCACGCGCTGCAAGCCGCAAGCGCGGGAGCAGAGAGATGGATTGTATTTATGCCGATGTTGCTGCCGCACTCATGATATTTTGCTTTCTCCGCAACGCCACGCCTTGCAGCTAGGGAGCGGCAGCAACGCTAACGCCGCTTTGCGGTTGTACCACGAACCTTCTGAATTCTACGTCAGGTTTACGTCATCACAACCTCCGAGATTGTGATGAGCAAAAATGTGTGATCTCAAAGCCTATGACATCATCATGAAACGTCACTTTGGAAACGTCACAAAAACTGCTGATGTTGCTAGTGATGCAAATAAAAGAACATTTTTTTTAGTTTGACTTCGCATAAACCTTGAAATAGCTGTAGTAAGTTATTATTTATTTATAATAAAACTTTTAGAGTCACTTTTTTTTTCAACGTGGTACGGTCGGCTACTTCTGGCTACGTGTACGTAGTCGCCAAGCCCGTTCAGTAGCCATCTGAGAAGTCTTTTAGTTGCGCGCCCGTTTGCCGGGATTTGTGTTAAGGTTTGTGTCTAATTTTGCTCACTTTACTTTCAGTTTGACTGCAAGCGTGTTGTTTTCGTGCTCTAGAATCCCTCGACGCAGTTCTACTTCCTAGAGTGCGAATCTGAGGTCAGTAGCTTAATGGTGCCTGCGCGGCACATTGTGGCCTCGACCCCAACGGTGAGCGGAAAGAAAATGGCTCCGGCTAGGCACTTCAGGTCGCGTAAAACGAACACGTTTACTCCTTCACGATTGTGGTTAATGTGCGTTATAAATTCACGTGAGAATTCGAGCTTGCTTTTGTAATTTCGTCCTGAAATAATGCGCCACGTATAAGTGTGTTTTGCCAGCGTAATGACGCGGTCACGACGCACTGCGTATTTGAAGCGCGAAGCGGCTGTGCAATTTATCATCCCCCATTTCAGAACATGGGAGACAGTGACGACGAGTACGACCGGCGGCGGGGGAGGGACAAGTTTCGGAGAGAACGGAGCGACTACCAGGAACGTCGTGATGATCGCAGCCGCGGACGGGACGATTGGCCAGAACGGTAAGCTCGTGTGTTTTCAGAATCCTTGAAGCGTGCGCGAAACTTCTGCACGATTTCGAAAAAAAAAACAAACAAACATCGACGCTGGTACAACAAGCTAGCGATTTTCTGCTCTGTCTTGAACCCTCAGAGATTCCGCTCGGTATGAGCTCGAGCTTGTAAACCACTGAAATGCTCGTGGAACAACGAAACGACATATTTTATATGTGCAGCACAGTCGTAGTTTAAGAATACCGTACGCAAAGCTTGCGAGTATTGCGGGCGTAGCGTTATCGTTGGGCACCTACCGGTAGCCCACAAGAGGTGAGCGTACAGGTGCTCCAAAAGTAAGACGGAGCACGCAGCTGTGGCCGAGCTACGCAAACGTGAGCGCCAGCGCGTTCCATCAGGAAAGCGGTTCTTTATTTTTATACGAAAAAGATAGCAGTACCTTTTGCTACATTTCCGTAGAAGAATAAAATCACTTCTCTGATGGAGCGTGCTGGCGTTCACTTTTGCGTAGCTTGGCCATAGCTCACGTGCTTCGTTTTACTTTTGGAGCACCTGTACGACGCATCCGTAGCGCAAAGCTTTGCGTTGCACTAATCTAAATCTAAAATTTACGTTCTTGTTCTGTTGTTGTGGTCCACATAACAAAATTCAGCCACCACGGGAGCTTTCTTCACGGTGCTCTTTGGCAAGCTCGTCCCTCTGCATTTTTCATGTGTTAACACTTCCTCTTTCAAGGACGCTACTTGTGCTTTCAATAACGACTTATCTACCATAATTGATTAATTTGTGGGGCTTAACCTCGCAAAATCGCCATATGATTATGAGAGATGTCGCAGTGGAGGGCTCCGGAAATTTGAACCACCTGGGGTTCTTTAACGTGCACCCATATCTGAGCACACGGGCTTACAACATTTCCGCCTCCATTTGAAATGCAGCCGCCGCAGCCGGGATTCGATCTCGTTACCTGCGGGTCAGCAGCCGAGTACCTTAGCCACTAGACCACTGCGGCGGGGCATACTTATCTACCATATTTGATGGGATTATTAGGCCCCGCCGCGGTGGTCTAGTGGCTAAGGTACTCGGCTGCTGACCCGCAGGGCGCGGGTTCGAATCCCGGCTGCGGCGGCTGCATTTCCGATGGAGGCGGAAATGTTGTAGGCCCGTGTACTCAGATTTGGGTGCACGTTAAAGAACCCCAGGTGGTCTAAATTTCCGGAGCCCTCCACTACGGCGTCTCTCATTATCATATAGTGGTTTTGGGACGTTAAACCCCACAAATCAATCAATGATGGGATTATTAGCTATACGTGTTCTAGCATGTACATGCTAGCCAGCCTAGTCTCCCACATCATTAGGCTCTTCTGTGCTCGCAGGCATGGTGTTGATTTGTGCAAATAAAATAGTAATTAAGGGTAATGTTTTTGTTGCATACTCTGCTTGGAATTCAAACAGGACCAGTCTCTGTGCATATTTCTATCCCGGAAAACAATAAAATTTCTTTTCTACGCATGTTCTTGTTTTATATGTTGGGCTATTGTATAACACACAGTCAAAATTTTCCTGCTGTGCACTATCACAGGACAATACCTTTGTACGGGGTAATAAGGATTCTTCTTGCAATAATTCCTGATGCACCTTGTGTGCTGAGCAGATGCCAGTTTCGCTCGCCCTGTTAAAATACCCTTTTGCACGCCCGTGCTTTCTGTCACATCAAAAACATGATTGAGTGCGTAAATTTAAATCTCTTTCTCTGCATTCTCCGAAATATGCACTGTTAACTTTCTGAAAGCCTAGATGTTTTGTCGAGCCTGTTGCCTTCATGCACATGCAATTCCATATAACGCAGGCGTAGCTGATGGAGAGATAATGATTCGTAGCACGCCAGTTAAAACAAGTGGCACTGGCGGAGCATTGGTGCAGCGGACTGTTGCGCCATGTGTAGGTGCTGCATGTTTCCCATGGTGCTTTATAGCAATAACATGGAATAGGATAACACAGTTATTTTGTAAGCTCTTATATGTTCTACGGAACCAAGGGCGCAGTGCACGGTTGAGCTAGTGCAAGGAGGCATTTAATGCAACTTCATTATAATCATGTCGGCTTTTTGAAGTGCATAAATGAAAGGAACGTACAGAGGAAGAACTCACCATGTAAGGATGCTGATGACATGTAAGGACATTGTTCATCCAATGTCGGCATTGATGCTGAAGTTACTGGTTCACTGTTGCTATCCGAAGATCATCCGAGTGATTGTATTCTCTCATGTTAGTGTCTCTTTGAATCCAAACTGGAAGCCCTTCATGTTTGTCGAGTGGCGCATTTAACAATCTACAAAGGGGAAGTAAGTTCCCCCTCACCTGAATTATTCATGTGGTCTGGTAGGACTCGCAAACACACATAAGATCTCTTCAAAGCTGGGAACAAAACCCCACTACCAACATTTTTGCGTATATTAGGGAAAGCCAAGCATCAAGAGACGTGAGAGAGTTTATAGATCCTCACAGATTCTATTCAATTATTTTCTATCCAAATTTTACTTGTGTAAGCATTTTGAGCTGCACGTAAGGGATTTTTCGAATATCCTACGCTAAGTTGCATTCATAGCGTTGCGAATCGGCGCCGTACAAGCTTTCAAAAGAGTTTGTCCCACGCAAACTCTCACATGTGCTCTAGTCACCGCAAAAAGGCTTCGCCTGCTTCGTGGGCCGCATGCTATTTTGAATTTTTTTTTGTGTGCAGACCGCAAACACTTACAGTGGTTAGCATTACAATGCATGCACAGTGGCAGCGATTGCAACGGATAGCGTTTGCCTACTCTGTTCAAAAACTCCCTATTGTGCTCTTGGTGTTTACCGTCTGATTGAGTGACAGCAGAAAACATAATTGAGTGTAAGCATCGCTAAGTTATACTAAAAAGCATGTCAGAGGCATCAACCACTTAGAATGAGTTACTTGAACATTCCTAGTTATTTCAATAATAATTTTTTTAATGTCTGTTTTGTTTGGAATGCACTTGTTTTCAAATCGGCACAATGTGCTGTTTTGCAAGTCAACAGTTAGTCACATCTTGCAGCCGCCGTGATTATCGGGACTATGATGTTCGGAGGAGCCGAAGTGACCGTTATAGTCCTGCAAGACACGATATGAGTCCCCCTGTGAAGCGGATGCGGCGAGACTGGTGAGTCTGTCATTTCATGAGCACACCTTTTGCGTGCCTACTTATGAGCAGAACACTGCATTTGCATGGTTTGGGAAACTACTGCCTGCGTACTTTTTAAATGCCGGGCTTTTGTGTGGCATATTGTATGAATTATTTTTACTACTTCATTTTTTCTGTGGTATGTTTTTTATTTGTTAACTGTTGGGGAAAGCATCATCTTTCCTACACTCAGTTACAGTTGGTTGCCTGACGCTGGCATTGTGCATGAAAATCTGCATGCGATTGGTGTTGGTTTGGGTGGTGTCTGCATGAATTATTGATCTGTCATTTAACTTTTCGTTAAACATGCTTGGCTTTAAGTGCTATAAGATATATTTGAGCAGGCAAAGGACGTGCTAAGTGTAGGAAGGCACAATATTGCTTGTTGTAGTCCAGTTTTCATGGCTATGACAAGCACTGTCTATTTGGGAATAGATTAGGCTAAAGTTTGTAAATGGGCCGCTCATGAACTTGTGCTATGAGGAGCCACGGAAATACAACTTTTCCTGGGGGGGGAGGGGAGGGGCTAGCAGGGACAAAAGATTTCATTATAGTCTGTGCATAGTAACTCTCAATGTATTTGCAAAATATTCTGAAGGACAAATTTTGTTGCTGTCATGCCCCTTTATTTCTCTTTTACGTGACTTCGTATTCAGCATGAAGCAACACTGCTATGCAGTGCATTCACCTAAGTCACCATACCATGTTAGCAACATGGCAGTGGAAAATCACCCTTTGGCCAGGCTCTATTGAAAGCACAAAACTCTAACTTGCGGGGACACATACGCCCAGAGATTAACAGATTGTTGGGGCTTCATCTGTAGCGAGCCACAGGGCACTGTGAGCCATTGCTCCAAGTATATCTGACGTGCCAATGCGCTTTCTCATGCTAATCACCAGAAGGGTTTTGTGTGCACTGGGAATATGGGGTACGGAGAATAAAATAAAATAGAAAGGATATGGTTCAGATAAAGAAGAATGAAAGTAAAAAAGAAAGAATGAAATGATCTCAAGTTTTAGATATACCAAAAGTGGCTTGAAGACAAGGCAAAAAGCATTGCGTGTGCACCTTGCACTGCCAGAGAAAGGCCTCCTGCGTTCTTGCTATCTGTCATTTGTGCCACACACAGTAGGTATGGCTAAGAGCATGAGTCTTAACAATAGTTCAATGGAAACTTATCATTAGACCTTCCTGTACAAAGTGATAGGCAAGCGACACGACAGCTAGATTGTTGCCTCTGCTTGTCTTCAGTCGAAAGGAAGAGGAGCCAGAGCAGCAGAATAGGCAAATACGTCTAGACACCCTAGTCCTTGCAGACACTGACATTGAGCCATGTTTTCAATGTAGCAGCACCTCAGTCAGCCTCATTTCTGCACCACATATTTTGTTTGCTGACCACGTTGGCCTGCATTTGATAGTTTCATGTATTGAGTAAGCAGCTTAATAAGGAGGAGCGTTATTGCCTGTAACGTTCAGTGTGCTTTCATAGCTTTAGCATGAGATTGACATGAGGCATGCATGTCATAGGGACTGGCACGTATTCTGGTGCAGTCCTGAGACTTCTTGCTTCTGGCTTCCCATCTTCGTAGGGATGACCGAGGTGGTTACGGTGGCTTTGACGGTGGCGGCTTTCCGGGGGGTGGCCACCACCCGGGTGCAGGCGGCCCCTGGGGTGGCCCCCCACAGGACATGGGTGGCATGGTGCACATGGGTGGGCAACACGGTGGATATGGACACGGAATGGGCCAAGCTGGGGGTCCACAAAGGTAACCCATGGCACCTGCACATCAGTCTTTGGGAGCAAGCCTAGAGTTAAATTGACTGCTTGGGAGTTTTAACATTGTTCTGTTTTGATATTGTTTAATTTTGCTGTATTCATAAGGAAAATCAAGTCCTGAAAGCAGGGGTAGTGTAACATAAACTCTATTTCATTTCATTTCTGTTTGTAATTTGCCATCAGTCGTGCTTGTAAGGCGAATCGAATGAAAATTTTCAGGCCACGCCCACTTTGCTTGCTCATCAAGCAGTGACTGGAAACCACATAAGATACACGACATAAAAATGACAAGTATGCAGATATTGTGCTAAAATGTGATGTATTGATAGATTGGTGGAGCAGTGGTTAAAGTGTCTGGCTGCTCACTTGATCGCGGTCACATTTTGGTGGAGCCAAAATGATGGAGGCTTGTGTACTGTGCGATTTCAGTGTGCACTAAACAGCGCCAGATGGTTGAAATTCCCACCACGGAGGCATGTCATGCGGAACGCTAGATATTATTAGAGCATCTCTAAAATATGGCCGGGTTTCTCTAAACAATACAGATATTCTGCTAAAATAATATTTTAAAATGTGTAAATAGCCCTCGAGTGCTCTTATTTGCAAGAAGCATAAAAAATGGCAGCGAGTTCCATTGGGAAGGAAAAGAAACATTGGGGCAGCTGTTACACAGTTGTGCAAAATGCAAGTAAATATATCTATTTAAGATTCCCACTCACAGCCCTGCAATGAGTAGCAAACACCAGAACAGTCAGCAGTCTTCCCTCTACAGTATAGACCACTTATAATGTAACCGTTATAGTGCAAGACTGGTTACAATGCAGTCTTTTTTTACTCCTGTTTACCTTGCCATAAAACACGTTTATTGTGCAGTCCTCAAAAAAAAAAAAAAACCCGGTTATAATACATTTGCCAAAAAAATTTTTGTGACAAACGCTGTAGTGAGTATGCTTATGAAAGGAGGTGCTCTTGGTCAGGGTGTCTACCAACCTGGAAAACCTGGAAAACCTGGAAAAGTCAGGGAATTTGAACACGCCTGGAAAAGTCAGGGAAAAGTCAGGGAATTTCTGAAAAATCCGGCCAGGTCATGGAAACTGACTGTAGTCTTTCAGATTGTCACGAAAATATTCATTAGCATTAATCAAAGCTTTAAAAATCGCTCCTTAAACCACACAGAACAGCTAAGCAGAAGCATAGTTAAAAAAAAGCAGTGCATAGCTGGCGCTTCTACTTTCCGAGTACAACGTTACTCACGCGCATAAAATTGTGCATGTTTGTCTTGGCCGCGATCTCGGCTCGACTTGAGGGTTTTCTGGTTAGGCTGGAAGTGCCATCAGCAGAGGGCAAGGTGCACAGAATATGCGAGTCGTAATTATTTTTTTACTGAAATGTGTAGTTTACAGGTGCGTAAATTGGACTGGGATACAAAAACAGTAGTAGAGCAAATATGGTAATCCAGATCGGATCCAATCCAATCCGATCCACATATCAAGATGCCTAGGCTGCAGCCATATTGCCATTCTTCTTGTGATGCCGTGAGCATGCAGCGAGTTGCTATGCCTCTTGCGAAGAAGTGTTCGTTTAACCCTGATTGGGTGAACGCGGAAATATCCGAGCACGCCTCATGGATTAGAGCAGTGCCGAACGATATAGTTGCCAAGTTCTTCATTAACAACATAGTCCTCAGACATGGTGCACCCAGCGTGGTAATTACAGATCGTGGCCCAGCTTTTACTGCAGACCTAATGAAATAAATGTCTGATGCGAATGACCCACACAGACCAGAGAAGAACTACAGCATACCATTCTCAAACAAATGGCCTAACGGAGCGCTTGAACAGAACTCTGACTGGTATGCTTTCAATGTATATTGACGTCGAACATAAACTGTGGGATGAAATATTGCCCTACATCACGTTCGCATATAATACAGCCGTTCAAGAAACAACGCGAGTGACACCATTTGAACTTGTATTCGGCCGAAGAGCCACCACTCCACTGGATGCCATGTTACCACTGAATGATGAAAGCAGCAATCCACCTGGCCTAGACGACTTCCTGCAAAGAGCCGAGGAAGCACGACAGATGGCGAGATACAGAATACGCCGCCAACAACGTATCGACTCCTATCGGTACAATCAGCGTCGTACCGAAGCGCATTTTCAACCAGGTGACAAAGTATGGATATGGACCCCAGTGCGTCGCCGCGGACTTTCTGAAAAACTTTTTAGCCACTACTTCGGGCCTTACAAAGTACTCCATCGTGTAAGCGATGTAACTTACCAAGTCAGATCCGCTATACACGGGAGCTCAAAACGCCGCAACCCTACAGAGGTTGTACATGTAGTCCGGATGAAGCCGTACTATGAGAGATTACCGGAAGACCAGTGACGCCTACGCCTACCACGAATCTATTCATTGCCTGACGCATCGGGACGATGCGTGTGAGGAGGGGGATTATGCCACGACATAGTGCCTGCATTCAAACAACGCGCCCATCACCACGCGCACAGAGACATACATGGGCGCCGTCTAGTGTTGCGCAGAGACGATGATGATAGCACGAGAACCCAGCTGGCCCCTGCTGATGTGTGCCACGCGCTTGGGACTCTTCTTGAAGAAGTAGAAGAAGAAGACATCTTGCCGTTCTGCTGTAACGTGCTACGACCATAGTCCCTTTGAGTTGTGGGCACAGGTTCGCCCTTTAATAAATACGTTTTATTATACCCCGAGTCCTTCAACATCGTTACAATATAAGTAAGGCTCACTGTGCAGCACGCCAGAAGACTTTCTCGCTTAGCAATAAGGGCATCGCTGCTGTCTCCAGTCACGCTGTGAGCAAGAAACACCTAACTGCTGTGAGCATTGTGCAAAGTGCTTCCCAGACACACATCCGCGCGTTTTTCGGTGCTGGACCCAACTTGCCGTGTTCCATGACTGCTACGACTACGAGTGAATGTGTATCGACTGTGCCAAGCACGAGTGCTGAAAGCGTGCCTGCTAAACCGGTGGCTGTCGCGCCTGACGGGAAGGCATCCTTGAATGGGTTTCTGGTCAAAAAATGTGTCTCGAAAGCAGAAGTTGTTTAGTGTCTGAACACTATAGCGACCCATGGATCGTTTCGTTCAGCAGCAGCGTCAGCGGCGCTTTTTCCCATCATGTTCCCCACGTGCGACGTCGCGAAGAAGTTGCAACTTGGTAAGGACAAAGTTGGCTATACAATTTGTTACGGTATAGCCCCATACTTCCGAAACAGGCTGCTATCAAAGCTGCATAGTGTCCCACACGTGGTCGTGGCTTTTGACGAGTCCCTGAACAAAATTGCTCAGAAAGAGCAAATGGACGTTTTATCAGGTTTTGGGACCCAGCTGACGACGTTGTCAAAACCCGCTACCTGACGTCCTGTTTTTTAGGACACACTCGCGCAGAAGACTTAGCTGCCGCTTTCAAAAGGGCCACTGAGAACATTGAGCCGGCAAAAATACTTCAACTTTCGATGAATGGTCCAAACGTCAATTTGAAGTTGTTGAAGTCGTTGAAGCAAGAGTTTTCTGCGTCTGATGGAAATCAGAATATTGTGGACATTGGAAGCTGCGGACTGCACGTTGTGAGTGGTGCATTTAAAACAGGCCACAATGTGACAAAGTGGAACACAGTAGTGTTTCTTAGAAGCTTGTACAATTTGTTCAAAAACGTCCCTGCACGCCGAGCCGACTATGTCAATTTCACAGGGAGCATACTGTTTCCGCTAAAGTTTTGCTCAGTGCGCTGGCTGGAAAATGGCAAGGCTCTTGCTAGGGCACTGCAAGTCCTCCCAAATGTGGTCAAATATGTTGAGCATGTCAAGAAAGAAAAGAAACTTCCAGCGTGTGGCAGCTATGCTCATGTCGAGACGGCTGTGAAAGACGAGATGCTGCCAGTAAAGCTGGCCTTTATGCTTTCAGTTTCAGAAGAAGTGGAGCCATTTTTGGCTGAGTTTCAGACAGAAAAGCCGATGCTACCCTTTCTTGCAACAGCACTGGACGGCCTGTTGCGGTCACTGCTGGGACGAATCGTGCTAAAGGAAAAGCTGGATGCTGCAGGCACATTTTCAAAACTGATAAAAATTGATCTGGAGAACCCAAACAACATCATTGGTATAGCTGCCTTTGACATAGGCCTTGCCGCCAAAAGTGAGTTGCGAAAGATCACTAAACCATCTCACACAGCGGTGGTAAGTGTCAAAAAAGAATGCATCTTATTTATTAAGGTCTGTTCAGCAAAGATAATCGAAAGATCACCTCTGAAATACAAGCTGACAAGGGGGGCCAGTTGCTTAAACTCAGCAGTTTGTGCCGCTTCTGTGGAAGCTGGCCAGAAGCAGCTAAACATTGCACTTGAAGTACTTATAGAGCATGGGCGCCTTACAGGCCTACAAGGGGAGAGAGCAAGTAGATCATATGTACAAGTGTGCTCGAACAGCACTGCACAAGTGCGTTTGCGAAAATTTGATCGTGCAAGAGAGCGCTTGGAGAAGCTGTGGGTGGAACTCTGTGCAAGTTCTCATGAAGAGCTACTGCTGTTTGTGAAGATTGTGCTGTGCCTTTCACATGGAAATTCTTCCGTGGAGCGGGGATTTTCAGTGAACAAGGAATGTCTTGTGGAAAATATGAAGGAGGAGTCACTTGTAGCACAAAGGTTAGTGTACGATGAGGTGTCTGCAGCAGGTGGTGTTGCAGAAGTTGACGTAACAGACAAGATGATAGACATGGTTCGAAGTTCCAACATCAAATGGAAGGAAGACCTGGAGAGGAAAAAGAAGGAACGGTTGGACGTATTGGATGCTGAAAGGAAAAAGAAGAGGACTGCGGCTCTTGTGAAAGAGCTTGAATCAAAGACGCAAAAACTGATGGAAGACGCACAGCTTCAGGTCTCCATGCTGCAGCAAGAGATTGAATCCTTGAAACAGTGAGGGCATTGCCGATGCAAGTAAACAAGCTTTTCTGTTTG